AGTGTACTGTTTTTTTGAGAATATTTTGTTTTGTTTTTAGTGTATTTTGTTTGGAAGTCGGTTTTGTTTTTTTATTAAAAAGTTTATTTTTGGCATAAAAGTTTATACTAAACTATTCAATTTAGAACATTACACAATCATTTAAAGAACTATCCTATAAATATATAAAAAACAGTAAGAAATTTTCATACATTTCATATAATATTTCAGGTTTTAAAATGATAGGCGAAGCATGACAAAACGACAAAAGCGCCTCAGAAAAATATTGAGGCTTTGTCGGTCATGCCGTAATTTATCATAATACTGTAGCTGCCTATAATATTATAGTTTTTTAACTACGATGTTTTCCTTCACCGTAAGAACGTCGGGTAAATTATGTACATATGGAAATTCGAAAAATTGAAAATCACATTGGTACATTGAGGGATTCGAACCCAAGACCTGTAGATTACAAATCAAGTGCTTAAACCACTGAGCCACCGACGCTCTTAATACTTAACAGATACTAATACTTGCATTAAAATGGTTTTTAAATAAAGGTTGTTTTAGAGTAGATATAATTATTCCCGATTCATTGTGTTCAGTGATAAATGATGCGGTGTTATTAATGATTTAATTTTAGCTTCATCACGAAACCAAAAAGCTTTGTTACAATAAACGTCTAAAATGGATTTTAAGCATTTTTTCGTACCAGGTACGTACGTTTTATAAATCCTGCTTATAAAATTACAAATTACTAGTTTTCGCTCGCGACTCCATCCGCGTGTAAATTAAAAAAAAACAAAGGTGAGTAGCCTATATGTTCTTCTAGACTATCCTCTACATCTATACCATAATTCATCGAGATCCGTTCAGCCGTTTAGGCTACAAACTCTAACAAACATCCATCTATCCATCTATCTAAACTTTCACATTTATAATATTAGTATGACATGATAAATTCAATAAATTACATTCTTTTTAAACTTACCCTTAGCTTATAGTTCCGCCTGTTTAATTTGTGGTTCTCCAAACCTGAAAAAGAAAATTAACCATAAGTAAAAAGAAGAACTATTTAACATATTGTTTTCTATCATCAAAAAAAGTCAGGCATGAATTGTTCCTGCATTTTACGTGATTTTACACTTAAAGTAATATACTCATTATAATATACTTAAAACTTTGCAAAACTTGAAATCTCTTAGAAGAGATGAAATTGGATTTTGCAATCTTAATAGAAATTGTACCGGAGCGCACCTCGCCCGCCAAACCAAAAGAAATGAAACACTATTAGTGTTAATCTGAAACCTGTCTGCTTCCGCAGCAGACATAAAAGGTATTTCTTTAGATTACTACGGTGCTAATATTTCAAACAATTTATACGGATATTAATTGTATACCTCCAACTCAAAGTTTAAATAATTTTAGATTATTAGAGCGCGTGCACAAATTTGACTAAACTATCGCACAACTGTTTAGTCGCTTATTCCTATGAGCTTGCAAAGCAGTACGCACACTACTTGATTTTTAATTGTGCAACTAAACAGTTGAATTGGCAGCGAAACAATGGACAATCGCACAACTGTTGGGTAATATTTTAGACAAATGTGTGTGCCAGTTCTTACAACCATATAATAAAAAAAAGAAACAAATTATAAATCCTCAATTTACTTTTTAGCACAGATATATGCTTACTCAAAGCATCATTAAGCATATTTTGTAATTTTATAGAACACTTACGGCCCATTTTTTATACTTCAACGTTATGTGCATATTATTCTTACATTTTCTCATCCCGTTGAAAAAAAAATTTATGTCTGGGATTATGAATATATTTCTGCGATAAACCGTATTTTATGGTAAAAAGGTTACCAAAATGTGATAGAAGGCGGTCGTTTTTTGCTAAGCATAAAATAATGTAATGTGCATTTTGAGTTGTATTATGATAAGCTTAAGGCATATTTTTTTACAATGCGCTCCGATTTTACAAAAGCATTTCGATTAGTAAAAAAATATCTCTTCGGTAGCACGGTAGCATTTAATTAAACATGCAACACAACGCAAGTACACGTGCAAAAAGTCACACACGCACTCACTTTTTATCGTATGAATTATTTACTGTAATAATTAAATAGAAACTAGGCCGTCGCAGTAAATTTTATGGAACAATTCCAATAACATGTTGCTGTACAATGCTAATATTAATTCTTTAATCATTGTCAGTACTCAAAAAATTAAATAAACCTGCCATTATTTTGATTTCTATCTCTTTTAAAAGGGTCTTATTAAAAATGTCACCTCGTCGACTGTCGTAAGTCTTTTGTTTGTCAAAACAATAGATGTCGCAACAGGTCTGTTGCCATTTTATGCACCAGCTTGCTTCTGATTTGCATTGTTGAGGAATATTATAAAACGTCGGATAAAGCGTTGATGTTGGGATTTAAGATAAGCATTAACTTTAAAGTTTTCTGTTTATATTTTATATTTCTTGTACAAATAAATGCTAAGTGCTCTCTATTTAATGCTGAGAAATTGCAAAATGCTAGGTATTTATGATTTTTTTAAAGATGAAAATAAAGTACGAATTGCTGTCTGCAATTAAATACTCTTTGAGACTAGAAGTAAAATAACTAACAAATAAGTACACAGCCTCTGCATATGCAGGGGATATTCAGGCACATTTTTCATATAAAAAGTTGACTAACGAAAAATTATATCAGTTGAAAATATTTCTGCATATCATGGCAGGAATGTAAATTCACTGCGCATAGAAATAGCAAAATGGTTACAGATGATCTAAATGGAAATGAAACATTGTTTGCACAGGCGATTGCTTCCAAAGATAACAACAAACATTCAGCGGGTTTGTTCACTGGGTGATGGAGTTTGTTCTTGTTTATATTTGACGTTGCTATGAAGAGCTTAGACAATGCCAACTGCGGTATCTGCTGCTAAGCTTTTAAACTAGTCCGCGCTATCTTCACGGTATAAAACAAAATTGTATGTTTCTTTCGTATAAAAAAAAATTTGCTAGCTCGTCTGCAAAGAATTATAAGAAAAGTCTTTTAATAAATGTATCATTTGACATCCTGAGACAGTGTAAGTTCCCAACAAATGCTTCTTCCCAATTTATTTGCAACTTTAGAAATCAGCGAACATATTTATACAATTAATTAAAAACTTTGTATAATTTGTTGGCCTTTGTACAAAGGACTGGCCTGTATTGGGAAATCACAAAGCTCAGTGTTAACGGCTTAACTGTATCTATTTGCAAGCTGCGGCCTGAATAGTTAACTATAACGCCCGCTCGATTGTCGCCACAATGCATTGTTAGTAACATTATACCGTAACTACGGAATTAATTGTGAAACAAAATACTCATGGTGTAATACTGAAAATAGATTAAAAAATACAAACAAGTATTGACAATTATCCTTGTATAGAGAAGTTATGGCGAAAAATACCCATATTTCTAAAGTTATGATCAATCGATTTGGGAAAAACTTTTCTATAAGTGAGTTTCCGTGTTTTGGGTGAATTTGTTCAAAAATTACTTCAGAGTACGGAAAAGTATCTCATTTTTGACCGACTTCCCAAAAGAAGGAGGTACTCAATTCGTCTGTATGTTTTTTTATTTTTTTTTAAGTAGCTATAGATGATAGAAAGACCATAGAAAGACCAAGTGTCATGAAAAGTGGTATTTCCTTTCCTTTTTTGTAATCATCATTCCTACACTGTTATTTAAATTTTCTTTTCAGCTTGTCATGTTTATTTGCCGCCAGAAACAATGCAGTAAGTTCAGTGTAGAATACAAACTTCTGTATTACACAGAATAGCGTTGTCTTCTGCTGTTATTGGTTTTCGACATATCACAAGCTATTCACGGAATAATACGGTTGCTTTTTGTTTTATTTAAAGAAATTGAACTGGAGGTCGAGCACAAAAAAATACGAAAACATCAAAATCCGTAATATCATCCGCAAAATTTCTACAATTTTTTTACAGGTTAACAACTAGTAAAAATGTCATTCTTGACGATACTAAAATTGTTTCGCAAATTTTCATGTTATACCTATGAAAGATTAGAGTAGTAAAATTAATGTTTTCTTTTTACAAAAAAAAATGGTACAATTGTATAATATATTTTACGAGTAAATCGGTACAAGAAGTAGACAGTTTTTTTTTAAATAAATATGTAACTAACTACTTACTTTTCTCTAGCACTGTTGCAATTAAGGGAAATTTACTTTTGTCGACAAAGGGTTCCCCTAACTAAATTCTTGTTTGTTGGTTAAATACAAAATTTTGAATAAGTAATGTCATAAACAAAATTTGCCATTATGGTAAGCGAAAAAGTTTGAATAGCCAATTTTAACTTTTGGGTTTTCGCTTTTGTAAATTGCTGTCATAAACAAGCATGTTAATATAAAACAGCGCTGATTATGTTTCTAAAAAAAAAAGAAAACTGATAAAAAATGCTTCGATGTAAACAGAGTTTTGAATTAATTAAATAAATTAATTCATCTTATCCTCATAACTTCTAGTCCTCCAATGTTATATTAATTTAAACATGGTAAATGCCTAATATTATGGTCTCTTTACCACATTAGAATTTTTATCCAAAATTTTTACCCCCTAAGTTTAATAGCGTGAAAATATATAGCCTAAAGCGTGACGTAAGTGTAGGGCTTTTTATTAAAAAAAGAATTATATAAAAAATATGCTGTAATTGCTGAGATCTTAGGTAACAAAGAAGTGTGTGTTTACGCTTTATTATAATAGTATAGATATAGATAAGTACTACGATATATTTAAATGGACACTGATTTAAAAGACCTGATGTATTTCAACGTTAAATAAACAACGTAACAGATATCCATCAGAGCGTACAAAATCGACAGTAAACGATGAAATACAGACACCCCTTATCAAATAAACGGTAACTCAGCAACACGTGAAATGCTAACACGAAAGCGAAATCTTTTGAATTATTTTCCGAGTTTCATTTCGTCCAATAAGTAAGCATTTTTTTTAGTTTGTTTGGTACTTTTTGAGTATGAAATGATGTTTTTTGAGGGCATACAAACATGTTAATGAAAATGTAGCTTGTATGCGATGCCCTACCTTGCATCTAGTATTTGTACATATTTGAGATACCTATCTAAGAAGCCTATATCCTATATAAGAACAAATAGCCGAACTTTACCATTACTAGCATGAAGTACGAGAATGATATGCGATGTTAACCTCTTAAAAAAATTAACAATTTTATAATGAAAATAAATTTAAAAAAATCCATACCTAGCTATTTCATCCAAAATTAATTGCATATTTATGTTCTCACACGACTTTTACGGGTCTAATTGCTCAAAGGAACATGAACTAATATAAATTTTGCAAACGAGTAGTTAAATTTTGGAAAGGCAGAAATAACGCAGCCATAAAGTTATCTCCCAAAGGGCTCACAGGTGTGCTCGTTATTTTATACCATCAATTCGTATAAAGGAAAAGGGTTTTGTAAACTAAAGAGTAATGATCCCTATATTCTTTTATATATCGAAACCTTACAAAATGTTATCCCTGACATAAAAAAATTATATACATCAAGTTTACTTTGTTATTCCCATCTGCTTAAAATTCTCGCTCATTAAAATACTTGTTATGATATCTCTGTCTAATCAATGTGCATTTATTAGTAACAGGATAGTTCCTAGATAGTCTACGTTGAAATATGCACCTTCAGAATATTACCGTTATCATAATTCATACTTCATCTATTATCTCTGTTGTTTTTTTTATAATATAAAGTGGCAAACGAGCAAGCTTCCACCTGAATCCACCGAAATGGAAAGCAACCGCTGCCCACAAACAGCCGCAATTGCAAGATGCGTTGCCTACCCTTCATTGACGGAGGAGGAGACGCACATAAAGAGGACATTTCCTCTTCATATGCGTCTCCTCCACCGTCAAATCCACTTGTCCTTCACATCCTTTCCTATTAAGAAAAGGGCGGAAAGGGAAAGGGACTAAAATAGGC